GGGGGGGGGGGGGGGGTAGAAAGAACGAGGACAATCATAAAGAAATTAGTCCTCGGCTCCGGATGCATATTAATCCTCACCTCTCCTGCTGTCTCCAGAATCACGGTTTCATCTAATATCCTGGTTTCTCCGTCCCGTGTAGTTTCAAACCTTACGTGGAATGGAACATTGAGCTCTCCCTCCTTAACAATTCCTTTAAAGAGAATGTTGACATGAATGGATCCAGTTCCAATATCTACACTGAGAACTGCAGTTCCAACTCCGGCTAGTCCTTCAAGGAACCCTGAAATATATTCCTATATAGTACAGAGGGACGCATAAAATTATGGAATACATTTAAGCAACCTTATGTGTAGTTGATTGTAGTTAATGATGTTATAAAGCTTTTTGTATTACAAAGTAACTTGAATATAAACGTATCAAATGAAATGGGGCACACTGCATAATTTCTGTGTTTTATGTTAATTGGACTATTAACTGTAGTTGAAGTTAAAATGCAGTTTAAATCAGAGTTTTAGCTTTCAACCACTTATTTAAAACATTTTTAAAAATTCAAAAATTTTCACAAATTTTAAAAATCATTTAAGACGATTCATGGATAAATGATAAAGGTTTAAAAAAAATAACACTTTAAAAATGAGGTCTACAGAATTTTGGTATTTTAAAGTTTTAGAAACATTTTTTAGATTTCAATCAAATGAAAATGGACAAAATTCTTAATAGCTGAATCAATTTGAAAGGTAGAAAATTTAAGAATTAGGAGATGTATTTATGAGACACCCTGTAGCCAAATATGACCTGAGAAAAGCTTGGAAATGTATTTATGAGACACCCTGTAGCCAAATATTTCCTGAGAAAAGCTCTGAAATGTATTTATGAGACACCCTGTAGCCAAATATTACCTGAGAAAAGCTCTGAAGTGAGACCGTAATATTTCTTCACGGCTCCGACAATTACTCCCTCCGGATAGGTGAGACTAATCCGGAGTTCCTCGGCTCTCAGAATCCGGCGATATTTCCTCGGGAGCCGGGCCCAGGTTCCACACATCTTACCAGTACTTAACAATAGGCAGGATTAGACGGAGTACCTATGTTCTATATATACTATTGTACTATATGTACCCGTGTATCAAATTTACCAGTGTAATATATGTACCATTGGCATATATGTACCAATGTTCTATATGTACCACTGTTTTATATGTACCATTTTTCTATCTGTACCATTGAACTATATGTACCAGTGTATCATATTTACCAGTGTGATATGTGTACCATTGGCATAGATGTACCATTGCTGTACCATTGAAATTTATGTACCAATGTTCTATATGTACCATTTTTATATATGGACCATTGCTCTTTATGTACCGTTGTTCAATATACATCATTGTTCTATACGTACCATTGTAGGATATGTACCAGTGTACTTTATGTACCACTGTACTATATGTACTATTTTACTATATGCTCTATTGTACTATATGCACTATTGTACTATTTGTACTATTGTACTATATGTGCTATTGTACTATAATTACTATTGTACTATTGTACTAAATGTACTACATGTACTATTGTACTATTGTACTATTGTACTATATGTTCTATATGTACTTTTGTACTACTGTATTATATGTATTATTATTCAAATCTATTTATTGATCAAAAAGTACAGGAACAAATAAAAATAAACTTTATATATATATATCAACGATATGTACATTTTGATTTTCTGATTTTAATAAATGTGTAGACGAAAACAAAAATAAACTATATAGGCAAAGATTAATAAAATAAAATACCGGTGCCAAAATAGCAGCAATATAAGAACTGGCAAAATCACACAGGGAGCTTCAGGTAAGCATGGTTTTAAAAGGCAACATTCTTTGAGACGGATAAAGACGATTGCGGAGAGAGTTGTTACTGAAGATCCAACAGCTACTGTATTATATGTACTATTGTACTATTATACTATTGTACTATTGTACTATTGTACTATTGTACTATTGTACTATTGTACTATTGTACTATTGTACTATATGTACTATTTTACTATGGTACTGTATGTTCTATATGTACTTTTGTACTATTGTACTATATGTACTATTGTACTATTGTACTATTGTACTATTGTACTATTGTACTATTGTACTATTGTACTATATGTACTATTGTACTATGGTACTATATGTACTATTGTACTATTGTACTATTGAACTATTGTACTATATGTACTATTGTACTTTTGTACTATTGAACTTACTATTGTACTATATGTACTATTGTACTGTATGTACCTGTTATAAAGATCTGTAATAGGAGTTGGGAATTCATCAAGAATATTATCCTGAGGATCTGTAAAGGTTAACTGTATTGGAGCACTCAACCTCTCACTACTCACTAGACTCCATTGAAGGGTTTTCTTTCTGAAATGAAGACGACCAATTGCTGCTCCAGGTACACCTGGTCCACTTAGAACACTTGCATAATCTAGAAGTAACATTTATCTGTTTCCTGGAATTCTAAAAAAATTGTTACTTTTTATACAAAACTTAAAATATAAATGTTTTGTGTTGATATTGGTCTTTAGAATGTAGAGATATCATAATGTGAATATATTGGCATCTTGGCACTTTGCCCCCTTCTCCACTTCCTCCCCACTTCCTCCCCTCTCAGGTTCCCCAAGTGTGCGAAGCCAAGAAGAAGTAATTAATATTTTCAGGAATCAATAAAAAACATCGTTGTTTACCTTTTCTTTCACGCGTACGGTATGCATTGTATGTACTGTATGTACAAAGAATAAAAGCGGTATTTTTATGGGGGTGGAGGAGTGCAAATGTTCCTGCCTCTCCTTCCCATTTATATAATTTTTAGATTTAAGAGATCACACAGGAAAAAGGAAAAATATTGATTCCAGTTATTTTTGAGAACTTATTAGCAGATTACTTCGTGAACATTGTTTAGATTTTGTCTTGTGAATTTATACTGGAAAGAAAACATAGAAAAATGTCAGATTTCAACACGCTTTGAGATATTAAACGACGATATCTTCCTCATTGTTGCTCAGATATAAGTTAAAATGCATTGTTTTGACTTGGGTTTATCCAACGAGGTTATCACTTTTCAAAGATAGAGTCACTTAACATTGATTGTACAGTCCCTTTAAATAGTATATTTTGCATTGCTGTATTTATGTTCAGAAAATATTATATTTTTTTTAATGATTCAAGTGTACTTTAAAACCAGGTAAGATTACTTTAATTAAACTTTATAGACCGTAATAAAAAAAGGATTAAAAAGTTAAAAGTCCAAAGGCAGAAATAACCTGTTATAGTTGGACAGATTGGTCAGATTGGTCAAGAGTGGTAAGATCGGTCAAGAGGGGTCAGATTGGTCAAGAGTGGTCAGAATGGTCAAGAGTGGTCAAGAATAGCTAATAGTTGTCAAGAGTGTGGCCAAAGTGGTTAATAGTTGTCAAAAGTGGCCAAAGTGGTCAAGGGGGGTCAAGAGTGGTCAAAGTGGTCAAGTGGGGTTAAGAGTGGTCAAAGTGGTCAAATGGGGTCAAGAGTGGTCAAGTGGGGTCAAGAGTGGTCAAAGTGGTCAAAGTGGGATCAAGAGTGGTCAAGTGGGGTCAAGAGTGGTCAAAGTGGTTAAGTGGGTCAAGAGTGATCAAGTGGGGTCAAGAGTGGTCAATAGAGTGGTCAATAGAGCGGTCAAGGGTGTCTCGAGTTGTTTCAGATTGTTTAAAAAAAATATTAAAATTTCTCGGGGTCGTAAATATTTAAAAACTTACGTCTTCCGTTCTTCTCTTGTTCTTCTCTCTCTAGATCAACCTGGATATTGTTGTCAGGATCTAAACATTTAAAGGGATCGTTAACCTGAATATTGTTGTCAGGATCTGAACATTTAAAGGGATTGTTAACGTAGTTAAGAGCGAACCTTTATATAGTAACGATTAAACCCCTTTTAACCCCCTCCACAGCGATCCAAAGGTTCGAGACCTCACGCAAAAAGAAATGAGACTTTTTAAAATAATTTCTTTAAAATTTTTAAGTTAAAACAAGTGCTTTAAAATTCTAAAATCATGTCTAGGTCTACAAGAAAGTAAAAGTGAGTCAGGTCGGGTCGATCTAGAAAATGTACGCAATTTTTTAGGACAACCTTGAGCTATGTGTTTCCTATTTATAATGAAGATATCTTTGATAATTTTCTATTTGAATTGTATTGTCTGTAGTTAACAAATTGCTATAAATTGTCCAATCCCACTGTTCGAAATAAAACCTAAAACTCTGGAAAATCTAAGAAAATCTAGAAAAGTTGAAAAAATGAACATTTGCCCCAGTTTTACCTTATTTCAAATGTTTTTCTTAACGTGAATATATTTTATGATTAAACTTTGTACTTTGGGTTATAAATAATCATGCCATAATTTTACAAGGCAATATACTTTCTAATCACTTGACGGTATAAACATGTCCTTTGCTTGCAAATCAGCTGAATTAAATACTTTGCAAATTGCATGAATGTAGGATTTCTAAATTAATTGAATCGTAAGCAGTAAAGATGTCTAGAGTTGCCTTCCATATAATAATGTTACACACATCAAAATTAAGATATTGCACATAATTTAACAGATACAATTTTTTTAAATTACGGATTCAAACAGAAAAACAGTTATTTCTTTCGGTCATCAACATCGTAATTATCATTTAATATATTTTATCGTATAAAATCTTAAGATCATGAAATTTGAAGAGAGTTAGTTGTTCTCAAATGGATTGATACAATGAGAAACTTTGTCCAAAAGTTTTGTTTTCGTGAAATTTATACAGTTTGAGTCATTTTACAAAAATCGTAGAAGCATAAAATAGGATTCCTTAATTATTCTAAACTATTTTTAATGCGTACGTTTTAGAGTTTATAAGATTTCTGCTTACTGTTATCTTGTCCCGGGCACACTTTACAGCATCTTCCTGGGAGCAGGATAGGTTCAGGACAACTAGGCTTAGGACATTCAGACTTTATATTCTTGCACCGAACCCGTCCTACTATCCGCCGCTTCTTGTGAATCTAAACATTTAAAAATAAATTATTTACTAATCATTTTTTCTTTTTTTCTTTCATCCAACATTTTCAAAAAAAAAGTATTTTTTCTCACTCTTGGTTGTAAGAGGTCGCAAAGTCGTATCGATATTCTGCAAAATTAGAGATTGTGTCCCGTGTTAGACAGTAGATTGGGTGACTTATCATTACACATTTCATTTCCCATTTTTATTTACTTTCACATGAAGATTAATTAGAATTTAGCAATTAGGTTGGATTATTCTTATTTTCAATTATCTACTCGTGAAAACCGGGTTTTCCAGAATGTATATATTTTTTTTAATTGAAAAGTGCAACGTAAACTGGAATTAGGTTTTTTTTAACTCAAAAGATTAAATACACCCCTTGATGTAAAAATACCCCCTAACAGGGAGCATATAATCCTGTATGAGATACACCCCCTTGATGTAAAATACCCCCTCAAAGAGAGCATATACTCCTGTATGAGATACACCCCTTGATGTAAAATACCCCCTCAAAGAGAGCATATACTCCTGTATGAGATACACACCCTTGATGTAAAAACACCCCCTCAAAGGGAGCACATACTCCTGTATGAGATACACCCCCTTGATGTAAAAACACCCCCTCAAAGGGAGCATATATACTCCTGTATGAGATACACCCCCTTGATGTAAAAACACCCCTTCAAAGGGAGCATATACTCCTGTATGAGATACACCCCCTTGATGTAAAAACACTCCCTCAAAGGGAGCATATACTCCTGTATGAGATACACTCCCTTGATGTAAAAACACTCCCTCAAAGGGAGAATATACTCCTGTATGAGATACTGATGTAAAAATTACCTATATACTCCTTAAATATATATATGTAGAGAATAAAATAAGCGCCTGTACAGCAATATATTACCTAAAATACAATAAACACCCCTGAAAATAAATTTAAAAAACCTAATAATTGAAAACCTTATTTATCCCTGAATTGCAGTAACTTTATGCGAATTGGACTCTGCATGATTTCACTTGAAATTCATAGAATACATATCTGAGAAAGCTACTGACGACCGACTATACCGAATACTGAATACAATACTAAAAGAAACCTAAGATCAACACAGTCTAAGGATGAACGCATGTTCACTACATTGTATTTGAGGGGGAAACAAGGGGAAAGAATTCCGACTGCATTTATTGTAATTTCAAAAATGTGAATACCGATAACTTTAGAACTTTATCTCTAGTTTTAGAAGATGTCAACCTTCATGCAATGTAGTCCGTTAGTCCCCCCCCCCTTCGGAAAAAGAAAATTCATGATTAGATTTTATAAGATGCTCTTTTAAGTTAGAACTAAATCTCAATAAATGCAAAATTTGTGGATTTTGTCTAGTTTATATGTAATATTAATATCTAAGAATGCAAAATGAAAAATTGTTTTTATAAACTTTAAAAGGTTTAAACAGCTGTGGAGGACGAGAGAAACTGGTCATTTTAAATTTACAACATTAGTAGATATCTGGGATAATCTGCAGAAATGCAAATAATCATAGGAGCTGGAAAAATGTGTGATTTACAAATGTAAAAGTGCAACTTATTTATAGTTAGGATCACAGGATAAACCCTAATCCCGCAAGTTTAAGAATGCGCACATAAAGGGATTAACTACAACCCAATCAACACCTGTTACATCCACAAAACCTGAAGTACATGAGTGGAAAGGATGTACAGCAGAGGATGTTGTACAGGTAAAGGAGATAGCTGTACAACAGAGGCTTTGGTACAAGTGAAGGAGGACATCACTGTACTGTTCTGCTAGAAAGTACAGAATTACAGAATTAAGGACTAAGTAGAGGAGAAGAAAAATTATGTACACAAACACAGAAGCAAGAAATTTCTGAAAAAATAAGAACAAAAGAAAGTTAGGGGATAAGAAGGATAAGTAGAAAAGAAAGGTAGAGGATAAGAAGAAGGATAAGTAGAAAAGAAAGGTAGAGGATAAGAAGAAGGATAAGTAGAAACGAAAGTTAGGGGATAAGAAGAAGGATAAGTAGAAAAGAAAGGTAAAGGATAAGAAGAAGGATAAGAAGAAAAGAAAGGTAGAGGATAAGAAGAAGGATAAGTAGAAAAGAAAGGTAGAGGATAAGAAGAAGGATAAGGAGAAAAGAAAGGTAAAGGATAAGAAGAAGGATAAGTAGAAAAGAAAGGTATAGGATAAGAAGAAGGATAAGTAGAAAAGAAAGGTATAGGATAAGAAGAAGGATAAGTAAAGAAAGGTATAGGATAAGAAGAAGGATATGTAAAGAAAGGTATAGGATAAGAAGAAGGATAAGTAAAGAAAGGTATAGGATAAGAAGAAGGATAAGGTACAGACGGAAGAAATGAAAAGAATTCGGACCTCCACCGAGAATAAACATTTCAGGAATATTTATCTCATATTTTCTTGAATCTGATGGAAAAACATGCTTTTACATGTTCTCAACAGTTGAATAAACAAGAGTACAGATTCTAACATATCTAAATAATATAGAGATTAATGTTTTTAGGCTACTTCGCGTCTCTTTATATTCTTTTTTTTTATTTTACCTGATTTACCCTTAGTACATTATTAAACAATGACAATTTAAAATTTCGCAGACTTATCTCTATTTCCATGAAAGGTTTAAAAAAATTTATAGTTTTATTTTATTTATTTCAGAAGTGCACAAAAACTGGGATCTTGTGAAGTCCCACAAAAAGTTTGGCCGGATTGGTTCTGCCTTAAACATGTATTTAATACAATCAAACAGACAACTTTATGTGTAGAAATTAATGTTTGTAAAATGGAGTGAAAACATGAATCTTGATGAAATCCAGAATATTTTGTTTAGAAACAAACTGATTTCGAATAGTTTTCCTCGATCTAACGTAAATTTTCCCCCAAAAAAAGGTTTCCTCGTGAAAGATTTAGATTGCCCCGTCATATTAAGAAATTCAGATAGATTTTCCCCGTAGGAGTTTATACTCTACATAAACATAACAGATTTAAATACCACCACTAGTATAAAATACTGACATCTTTGTATGCATGCAACATTAAAATTTTAAAATGAACAACTAATAATATATTTTATATTTGGAATCACAATTTGATAAAATCAGAGGATATTCTCCTTTATTCCTTTACAAAACATTAATCTCAACCTAGCTACCTAGAATTAGCTACCTCAGTAGGGGAAGGATAGAAGGAGAGGAATATATATATATGGAGAAGAATACTAGGTTCCCTGTATAGTGGAAGGATAGAAGGTAGGAGAGGAATATATATACATATATGGAGAAGAATAGTAGGTTCCCTGTATAGCAGAAGGGTGTAGGATGAAGACGGGTTGGTAAAGTCTGGTATTTTATATTTCTTGTCTGTGCTCCTTGTCACTTTTTCCCACAAAATTACACTAATATATTTTAAATATGAGAAGAGAAGAGTAGGACGTGAGTGTTGAGACGGGATGAAACTCATCACCTCGGTTCTCAGGGATAACATGAGATCTACGTAGAGGGGAGGGGGAAGGGGGAGAAGGCACTTTTATAATCAGGACAAGAACAATCATCAAGATAAGAGAACAAAGAATAACCTGCAGAGAGTCGGCAGATGACTGAGAGCTAAAGGAGAACTAGAGGAGAACAAGAGGAGAACTAGAGGAGAACTAGAGGAGAACTAGAGGAGAACTAGAGGAGAACTAGAGGAGAACTAGAGGAGAACAAGAGGAGAACTACAGGAGAACTAAAGGAGAACTAGAGGAGAACAAGAGGAGAACTACAGGAGAACTAAAGGAGAACTAAAGGAGAACTAAAGGAGAAATAGAGGAGAACTAGAGGAGAACTAAAGGAGAAATAGAGGAGAACTAGAGGAGAGCTAAACGAGAACTAGAGGAGATCTAGAGGAAAACTGAACGAGAACAAGAAGAGAACTAGAGAAGAACTAAAGGAGAACTAGAAGAGAACTAGAGGAGAACTAGAGGAGAACTAGAGGAGAACTAGAAGAGAACTAGAGAAGAACTAGAGAAGAACTAGAGAAGAACTAAGAACTGAAGGAGAACTAGAGGAGAACTAAACGAGAACTAGAGGAGAACTAGAGGAGAACTAAACGAGAACTAGAGGAAAACTAGCGGAAAACTAGAGACGAACTAGAGGAGAACTAAAGGAGAACTAGAAGAGAACTAAAGGAGAACTAGAGGAGAACTAGAGAAGAACTAGAGAAGAACTAAAGGAGAACTAGTCTAGAGGAGAACTAGAGAAGAACTAAAGGATAACTAGAGGAGAACTAGAGGAGAACTAGAGAAGAACTAGAGAAGAACTAGAGGAGAACTAGAGGAGAACTAGAGAAGAACTAGAGGAGAACTAGGGAAGAATTAGAGGAGAACTAAAGGAGAACTAGTCTAGAGGAGAACTAGAGAAGAACTAAAGGATAACTAGAGAAGAACTAGAGGAGAACTAGGGAAGAACTAGAGGAGAACTAGAGGAGAACTAGAGGAGAACTAGAGTAGAACTAGAGTGTTGAGTTGAGAACTCACTTTAAACCTATCTGACAGCTAAATTGACCCTATCTCCAGTAGGATAGGATGATTAGAGTATAAACTATATATATCGTCCCTCTCTAACCAACGCCTGGCGCCGCTGTGGCGCCTAGATGAAGTTTTCTGAAAGATAACTAGGAGTATAATCAAAACATTAATGAACCTTATCTATAAAGGTTCATTAATGTTTTATATTTAAGTGAAGAAATTTCCCTGATGAACAAATATTTATTTTGTAACGAACAGTGAGTAAATATAACAAGAGAAAATGCGGGAACTGAATTGTTATGCAATTAAATGCGTATATTGAAAGTATGGAGGACGATTTAAAGATCGATTCATGAAAAATGAAAGAGGATCTCGGAAACAATAATTAGCTTATAAATATATAAAGTTGAGGACCCCTAAATCGTAAAAAAACCATCAGATCTCAAGGAGAATAGTTCTGATTACA